CCCCAAAACCCCAAAACCCCAAAACCCCAAAACCCCAAAACCCCAAAACCCCATAATCTCCATTAAAAATTGAAATATTATCAAAGAATATGGAAGAATCAAAAATTGGTCCAAAAATGACCAAAAAGGGACTAGCGAAAGAGTTCAAAATGGAGAAAGTTGATACAGGATACTTTACAAAATGAGTAAAAATCCAAAGGATCATCCTTCAAGACTTGCTAGACCTCAAAATTCTATGAAAGAAGGAGGAGGAAAAGTTCCACAATAAATAAGCTTAGTGATCTTCAATATGAGGTTGCAAAACTGCAATCCCAGGTTGTAAGTCTCTCTCTCTCATAATTCATGTCCTCATCTCTGCTATAGGACTCTAAGAAGAGGAAGAATATAGAAAGAAGAGAATATCTTATTGAGTTTTGCCAAAACAATGGTATTTCCTCTTATTTAACAATTAAATAGAAGCTAGAGTCAAACAACTGCAGTCTAATGAAGACCATAAGGATGGAGATGGTCATCCGGCTACTTCAGATAACTCAAGGATTTTAGAGAAAGCACAAGAAGATTCTGAAGCCGTAAGCACTTTGCAAGGTATGACCAAATTGGGCTTGGCTAATCTCTGATTTAGAGCAAATAGAAAGTAGACAGCAGGAACTTCTCACAAATAATAATGTAAGCATCCATATTTGATTTGAACTTGAGCTAAAGTACTTCCCTAACTCTGGAGTTTGGATCTCATATATTTAAGAATTTTCCAACATTTTTCAAAACTCACCCAAATTTTCCATCAAAACTAATAGTTTAACTCCAAAAACTGAGCATGAAAATGTCGGGATAATCATAGGAAACTCTGAAATTTCTTAAAAGTTAGAGTAACTGTTAACTTTTGGTAACTTGCTTTAATTTTGATGTCGCCTCTTATTTTCTATAAAGCAATACTACAACCTCCAGATTTGCTACAACAAAGAATCTGATGACTACATCAAGAAAGTCTTGGAAAAAGAAGAAGATGACAGCTATGAGGATTATGAACTCGTTGACACTGGTGAATTTGAAAGTGCTGACTTTGAAGAGTTCAAAGTTAAGTACGACAATGATATGAGAAGTTCTACCACTTCTAGGTTAACCAGTCTTTGGGATCCGAAGGCATTGCTCAAAAGCAATTACTTTTCAGACTCACCACCTGTTAAACAGAGTGTAGAGAAGAATATATCTATGTCTCCTAAAAAGCCTACTATAGTTAAAGCTCCTCCTCCTTTAGAAAGTGAAGAGTCCAAGGAAGTTCTTGCTTCTTCTGTAGTCTCTAGTGAGGACTCACTGGAGTCTGATGAGGACACAGATCAACCAAGAGAGCTCATCGGGACTCTATATTTTATGGAACCCAGAGGAATCAAGCCCAAAGATATTTCCTTCCAAAATAGGAGTGAAGTTATCCCTAAAAGAAGGCTTTCAGGGAGAGGAAGTTCTCAGATGATCCCCAATCCACTTCTGGAGCAGAGTATCGCTGCTTCTGAATTAGTGAAAGAGCAGAACTTCACTGAAGGAACTTGGAAAGAGCTGTTTGGCTTCTTCCAACACAAGGCTTTAATCTTGAGATGCTTTGCAAATGTTCTCAAAATATGCTTACCTTATCCTATTGATGAGGAAGGATTGCTCATCAATGGGAAGAATAGACTCACATTGATACCTTCTGTATCTGTGACATATGAAGAAAATTTCGAAGCATATAGAATGCTTAGAGTAGATATGGTATTTATCTACAAATCAGTGAAGCAGTTATCCAGAGCCCAGCAATGCCACTACTACATTGACTTTGTAGCGAAGTTATGTATCTAAAGCAAGTAGCCAAATTTCAATATTTCTACTCCTATTTGGGGTTTTGGGGTTTTGGGGTTTTGGGGTTTTGGGGTTTTGGGG